CACGACACCAAACTGGAAGGGGAAAGTATAGATCTACAAATGAAAAGGTAAAATTCTCCCCCAGTTCCCCCCCCATGACAAGTCATAACGCTCACAGAAAGATATTAAATATACTGTATAAACACAGACAATGTTCCAAAAAATGTAAAGGACAGTTTGGTGTCGTGGTTAAGTGCGCGGACTCTAATCTGGGAGAACCGGGTTTGATTCCCCCACTCCTCCACTTGCACCTGCTGGATGACCTTGGGCCAGTCACAAGTTCTCTCAGATCCGTTCTCTCACAAGCAGTCCTCGAAAGACCTCTTACAGCCCCACTGACCTCACAGGGTGCCTGTTGTGGGGAGGGGAAGGGAAAGGAGTTTGTAAGCCACTCTGAGACTCCTTAGGGTAGTGAAGGCCGGGGTATAAATCCAATCTCTTCTTCTTCTTCTAAAGTCTCACAAACCACAGAATGATAAGTCTTGAAAGAAACACTATATCCTAAAAAGTTCACAAGCACAATCCCTCCAAGGGGCAGTCATAGTCTGTAGAAAAAATACTGTCTAGTATACCTGCATCAACAGAATACGATTGAAAACTTCCCCCTCCCCCTTTGGAAGACTTCATTCAAGTAGAAGCGGGTTTGCAATTCCAGAAACTCCCGTCGGGGCTTGGCTTTTTAATATATTGATGCAAAACTGGCTTTTTGTTCACACAGTCGAGTCATACTCTTCGCGACCCCATGGACAAGATCACGCCAGGCTGTCCTGTCTTCCGCCGTCCTCTGAAGTTGGCTCAATGTCATGGTCGTTGCATCTATGACACTGTCTAACCATCTCATCCTTTGCCATCCCCGTCTTCTTTGACCTTCAATCTTTCCCAGCATCAGGGTCTTCTTCTCCAGTGAGGGCTCCCTTCTCATTGGGTGGCCAAAGTATTTGAGCTTCAGTTTCATTATCTGGCCTTCCAGGGAACAGTCAGAGTTGATTTCTTTTAGGATTGACTGATTTGATCTTCTTGCAGTCCAAGGGACTCTCAAGAGTCTTCTCCAGCACCATAGTTCAAGAGAATCTATTCTTCGGCGCTCGGCCTTCCTTATAGTCCAACTCTCGCAGCCATACATGACTACTGGGAATACCAAAACTGTCTGGTAGTTGTTAAATTGTCAAATCGAATGAACTGAATACACGTACCGGATAAGGATGCAATAATAGCACATTATGCACTTTATAGAATGATCATTACAAACAGGACACGTTAATTTACAGAAGTTCCTTGCAGTGTCTACTTTCTTATTATTTGACTTTCCCAGGGCTTTTTTTGTAGAAAAAGCCCAGCAGGAACTCATTAGCATAATAGGCCATACCCAACAGCAGGAACTCATTAGCATATGTGGGGTCTGGTGAGCAAAAATTCTACTTTGTGAGCCACTGGCATTCAAGTTATGAGCAAGCGATTTGGCTACGGCATAAATTAGTTTGCTCTGGAGCAATGCTCCCGCTAAGCTGTGGAGTCTGGTGAGCAAAAATTCTACTTTGTGAGCCACTGGCATTATAGCTGTGAGCAAGCAATTTGGCTGCTGCAGAAATTAGTTTGCTCTGGAGTAATGCTTCCTCTAAGCTGTGGAGTCCGGTGAGCAAAAATTCTACTTTGTGAGCCACTGGCATTCAAGTTGTGAGCGAGCGATTTGGTTACTGCAGAAATTAGTTTGCTCTGGAGCCATCCTTCCTGAGCTAAGACAATAATGTGTGAGCTGGAGGCTTAAAAACTGTGAGCAAGCTCACACTAACTCAGCTTAGAGGGAACACTGTCAGCAGGTGCAGGTCGAGGAGAAGTGGGGAATCAAACCTGCTTTTCCCAGACTCCTAACCATACAGCAAACTGGCTTTCTCACTAAGCCTGCAGGGACTTCCCCCTAGGGAAGCCAGCCTCCAGGTTGGACCTGGAATGTAAAGTCCTGGATATTTTCAAAGCGGGACCAGTGAAGTCGTTCAAGGGAGAATGCGCCAGTTGCAAGCTCACATTTACAAATTATACACCGCTTAGCAGAGTAACAAGGACAGAAGAAGACCATCACAGATTTTACCACCTTACTCGTTTTAAAATAACCAAAGGTGGGAATTTAGAGCAGGGGTGTCAAACTCATTTTGCAGGATTTGTCATACCCTGAACACTCCCTGTTTGAACTGCTGCCTTCGGGTAGAAGATATAGGACTCTGACATAAATGAGACCTTGTTGGCCCGGGCTGTGTGTGTCATAAAATGTAATGCCAGGTAGCGGAGATATAAACTTTATCAAGGTCATCAACACAAAGGGGCGCTTTTTAAAACTTAAAATAAAAACATGCTTAACACATTAGCACTCTTGCAATATTTTTGTTTATTTAACCATGTCTGATAACGGACACCTCTTGCTCTGAATTATTGCCTCAAAATGTCTGTGCTGTTGCAGTCTTGAGTATGCTGTGCAGGTGTGTATCTGTAAGCCGCAAACCTATGATGGCGCAGCAGCAGCAGAATTGAAGAAGCAGCAGAAGCAGAAGACAGCCAATTCCACTGAGAACTTCAGCTGCACCAGGGGGGAAAAACTGCCCCACAGGCCACAAAATCCCGGCTACGGGCCTCTTGGGGGATGAAGACTGTGGCTCAAGTACTGCTTCCCTTTATGTCACAGCGCAGCCTAACTACTGGAAGAGATGTTGTTGTTCAGTCGCACAGTCGAGTCCGACTCTTCGCGACCCCACGTACCACATCACGCCGGGCCCCACCGCTGCCACCATGTATAGGATTCTGCCCCCCAAGCCTGTCCAGGAATGGGAGGGAGAGGAAATAAGGAAGGAAAGGGAGACAAAGAAAGGAGGAAAGAAAAAGACTTCTTGCTCCTTAGGGCCTAGGGTTGTTGGGAGCAGGGGGTGGTGCTTGTTGTATGTGCCCACCCCCTGGGCTCTTTACTGCCGGAGCTCCAGTCCAGCAGGAAATGACCCCTGGATATACGTCACCTGACTCTGTAGGTGCTCTTCCATCTAAATGAATGTGAAGACGGCTTGTAATTTAGTTTTGTCTTCGCACATCTTCATCATGTGACATGTTAATTTGCTATTCAGCCCCCGTCTATAAGTTTGAACCTTACCTTCCATTCCAATGCATTTGAACAAGTGTGCATGTGCACAAAAGCTCATACCCTGAATAAAACTTTGTTGGTCTTAAAGTTGCCCCTGGACTCTGAATTTGTTCTGACGCTTGCAACCACCCTTAGCTTATTAACCATTTAGCCAAAGGAAAGCTGTTACCAGGAGAGATCTCTAAATTGCAAGGTGTAACCCACTTTAGATGACAGCTCTCAGCCACTGCAAGTTAATCACTTCCGACAGCCTAAGCAGCAGTTCTGAGAACAAGCCAGGAGGTGGGGGTGAGGACTTCTGGAGGGCCTCCAAAGCAACCATTTCCTCCAGGGGAAACTGTCCTCTCTGTAGTCTGGAGATGAACTGTCATTCCAGGGGATCCCCAGCTCCTACCTGGAGGCTGGCTGCTTCTTCCTCCCTGTCTTATGTCAGTGGATGAAGATTTCCACCTGGTGCTTTTTTAACACCTTCCTCACCAGCATGAAATAGGAACATAAGAACATCAGAGAAGCCAATGTTGGATGAGGCCAATGGCCCCACCCAGTCCAACACTCTTCTGTGTCACACAGTGGCCAAAAAGACCAGGTGCCCTCAGGAGGTCCAGCAGCAGTGTTCCCTCTAAGCTGAGTTAGTGTGAGCTAGCTCACAGTTTTTTAGCCTCCAGCTCACACATTTTTGTCTTAGCTCAGGAAGGATGGCTCCAGAGCAAACTAATTTATGCAACAGCCAAATCACTCGCTCACAACTTTAATGCCAGTAGCTCACAAAGTAGAATTTCTGCTCACAAGACTCCACAGCTTAGAGGGAACATTGTCCAGCAGTGGGGCCAGGACACCAGAAGCCCTCTCACTGTTGCGCCCCCCGCAAGCATCAAGAAGACAGAGCATCCCTTGCCCCAGACCGAGAGTTCCTATCTATACCTTGTGGTTAAGAGCCACTGATGGACCTCTGCTCCAGATGCTTATCCAGTTCCCTCTTATAAGAACATAAGAGAAGCCAATGTGGGATCAGGCCAAATGGCCCATCGAGTCCAACACTCTGTGTCACACAGGGGCCGAAAATACCAGGTGCCATCAGGAGGTCCAGCAGTGGGGCCAGGACACCAGAAGCCCTCCTACTCTTGCTCCTCCAAGACACCAAGAATACAGAACATCCCTTGCCCCAGACATAAGAACATAAGAATAGCCAGTGTTGGATCAGGCCAAAGGCCCATCCAGTCCAACACTCTGTGTCACTCAGTGGCCAGAAACGCCAGGGGCCATCAGGAGGTCCGGCAGTGGGGCCAGGACACTAGGAGCCCTCCCACTGTTGTCCTCCCACTGTTGCCCCGCCCCCAAGCACCAAGAAGACAGAGCATCCCTGGCCCCAGACATAAGAACATAAGAGAAGCCAATGTTGGATCAGGCCAAAGGCCCATCCAGTCCAACACTCTGACACACAGTGGCCAAAAAGACCAGGGGCCATCAGGAGGTCCAGCAGTGGGGCCAGGACACTAGGAGCCCTCCCACTGTTGCCCCCCCCCCCCCCCTGGCAACCGAACAAGTGCTTCGGTGCGCCCCCCCCCCCGCCAAGCACCAAGAATACAGAGCATCACCTGCCCCAGACGGAGAGTTCCTAACTATACCTTGTGGCTATGGATATAAAATATCCTATGGATATAAACAGATGCCCCATGATAGTTAGCGCAGCTCCCCTCAATGCCCATAGAGAGCAACCAGCCGCCTTCCCTTTCCAACCCGAAGTGCGGACTACTCGCGTCTACGCTCTGTTCTCTATTACCAAGGGTGGCGCGACGCATGCGCACTGCGTCCCGTCCCCGGGCAGCGGCCGTGACGCGTCTGGGCGGCGCGAGAGGCAGTGGGCGGGGCCAGAGGGAAGGGGCGGGAACTAGCAGCGCCGCGGTGGCCCGGTCGGGATGCTCGTCGGCGCCCGGAGACCATGGCCCTGCCGAGGCCGCCGCCGAACGACCACGGGAGGCGAGGTAGGGCAACTCCGCCGGTCGCGCGGCTTCGGGGAGGGCGTCCCGGAGGCCGGGCCCGGCCGGAGGGGGGTCCGCGGGAGGCCTTCCCCCTCAGAGCTCAGGGGGAGGGGGAGGGGCCTGCGTGGACACGCCCCCTTTCGCCCCTCGGACGCGTCGCCTCGAGGCAACGGGAGCCAATGGGAGGGGGCGG